AAGCATCACCCCAATCCTGGGAATATCCCTGATATTTGACTCTAGGGTAGAGAAAACACTCTGCAGGCTAAGCAGTTCCTGGACCAGACTGAGCTCCAAACAAGAACCCTCTACATGTGCTCCTTCGCTTGGAGGAAGAACTTGGTGTAATTAGCCTGGAAAAACAAGCTGAAGCCAGTTTGTAAAGTCCTTTAAATGTCAAATGGGAGAGTTTATATTTTAACCTAAAGGCAATGGGGAGCCACTGAATTTTCTTGAGCAGAGAAGCGATACACGGTCAGAATTGTGTTTTGGGAATAACAATTTGACATGACTTAGAGAAGCAAGAGACTGGATGCAGGGAGACCAATAGGGAGGGTTCTGGGTATTGCAATAGTCCAGATAAGAATGGATGAGAACCTGAACTAGGGTAGTTGTGATATAAGTAGAGAGGAGGACAGATACCAGAGATATTGGGGAAATAGAATCAACAATAATTGGCAACTACAAGGTGAGAGTAGAAGATTCTTTAGTTGTGATGTTGGGTAACTGGAAGAAATAGAAATAGAGAAGTTAGGAGGAAGAAAGCATTTAATAAGAAAGATAATGAATTTTGTTTTGGACTTAGGCAGCTAGGGGGCACAGTGGGTAGAGACTCAGGTTTGGAGTTAAGGAAGACAAGTCCTCAAAATCTGCCTCAGGCATTTACTTGCTATATAATACTGGGCAAGTCACTTAACCTTTCTCTGCCTGTTTCTTCATCCACCAAATGAGGGTAATACGATACCCTTGACCCTATCTAGACCCCACTCTCGACTGCCCAGTCACACCCATCAAGATCCTCCCTAGATCCCTCCCACAGTCTTTCTGTATATAAGGTCTACCTTGCCTCCATTAAGGTGTTCAGATTCTTATAATCTAGCCAACAGCTCACAAATGTTCAGATTCCTTAAGAGTTAGGCCAATATGGCGGATCTTTAATAAACCTTGTCTTTGGCTAAAAAAATAAATGGGGGTAATAGCACTACCTCTCAAGGTTTTTATGAGGATCAACATTTTGCAAACCTGAAAATGATATAAAATGCCAACTAGTGTTACTATTACGTGTTGAGTTTGAGATCTCTATGGCATATCCAGACAGAGATGTTAAGAGATGAGAGCTTCATTTGTGAGTGTGGAAGTCATCTGTCTAGAGATGATAGCTGAGTCCATGGAAGTTAATAAGATCACTAAGGAAATTGTAGAAAGAGGAGGGGACCCAGGGAAATGTTGCCACATACATGAGCGGGACATGGATGATGGAAGTGAGAATTGGTCCAACAAGTCAAAACAAAATCACAATAGAGCAGCGTCATGAAAATCCAGGAAGAGGAGAGTATCCAGAGGTAGTGGCCAACCATGTTAAATGTTGCTGAGGTTAAGAAAGATAAGACCTGACAATAAGTCACTGGATTTCATAAGAGGTCATTGCTGGCCATGAAGAATAGTTTATCCAGTGTTGTGGACAGAAGTCTAATTGAAAAGGGCTTAAAAAGTGGGAGGCAAGAACATAGACAGAGCTTCTTCTAGGCAAGAAATCATAAGGTCATGATGTAGGGGAGTATAAATATTTATATTTATATAAACATAAAGGAGTATAAATACTGTACAAAGAACAAAACAATCCTTACTGACAAGATTATATTCTAATGGGGGAACCAAGTTCATATACACACAACATATGTGCTTGTGTATCTCACGAATACAAAATGAATAAATACAATTACATATAAAGTAGTTAAAAACAAAGAAGTTTGGGAAGGCGGATCCTAATAGTTGGGCATGATCAGGAAGGGTTTCACAAAGAAGACGATGCGATGCTTGAGCCAAATCTTAAAGGGAGGGACTCTGAATCAGACGCAAGGATAAAGATTCCAGGTTTGGGGGACCTTCAAAGCCATGGACACAGGAAGTTTTCTATGAGATGAAGAGAGGCCAGGTTGGCCAGACCACAGAAGGGGAGTGATGTGCAATTAGGCTGGAATGAGAGATTAGAGCTTGTGTAAGACTCATGTAGCAGTTTGTTTATATTTTATTCTAGAGAAATAGGAAGCCACTGAAACTAGTTGAGGAGAGTCATAAGATCAGATCTTTATTTAAGGAAAATGGCTTTTGCAGTAGCACGTAAGGTGGACTGGTGACTCCCAGGATTACATCCAAGCCAGGCACATCTTCATTCCTCTCCAGGATGCCTTCATGAACCTGGACTTTCTCTCTCTGATTTGTTGGCTTTTCCCACAACTTCCATTTTAGGGAGGAGACCCAGGCCAGACATAGCTTCCTTTCCAGACTGTACCCTGAATTCTCCAGGCTTTCTCTACCCTACCCCCTGGGAGGGCAGCCTCCCCATCTTTTTTTGTGTTGTCTTCATCCATTAGGATGTTACCTCCTTGAGGGCAGGTACTACATTTCTGCTTCTATTTGTATTTTTAGGAATTAGCAAGGCCTAGGTATACAGTAAGCAGTTAAAAAATGTTTGTTGACAATTTGACTTGAAGCAGGGAAACTATTTAGGAGGTAATTGGAATACAGAACAGAAGTGATGAGGGCCTGAACTAAGGGGATAAGGTGTGAGTAGAGAAGGGATTGGATTCAAGAGATGTGAAAGTAGAAATAACAAAATTTGGCAATTTTTTGGCAATATGGGAAGAGGGAAGGTGAAGAGCCCAGGGTAATCCAAGGTTACAAAATGGGACACTACAAAGATGGTGACACTTTCAACAATAATAGAGAATCTGGAAGAGATGCGGACTGGAGGGAAAATAAGTTCAGTTTTGAACTTGTTGAACTAAAGATATCTCTGTAACACTCAGTTTAAAACATAGACAAATTGTACATTTGACAATCTCAGCATTATAAGAAATCTATGTATAATATGTATCTCTGAGTCATATGCAAGGCAAGTTAAACCCATGAGAAGTTACCAAAAGTGTACAGGAAGAAAGCCTATGACAAGTGTGAAATGGGCATTAAGTCACAAAGCAGACTGATGAGGAGGCAGGCAGCTAGGAGAAACAGATGAGAGCATTTTTAAGACCATAGATTTAGAGTTTGGAAGGAAGCCTAGAAGTGACCTGCCCAAGACCACAAAGGTAGTGAGCATCAAAGCTGGTAGTAGTCAACAAACAGATCCTCTGACTCCAAGTCCTGGGTTCTTTCCATTAACTACAATGTTACAGAAACCAAGAAAAGGAGTAAGCAGGAAGACACGGTATAAGCGAATAGAGGAGTGATAGCAATTAACATCAAAAGAAACCACTGACATCAAGAATGATGGTTTGAGAAAAGGCCATTGGTTTCACCAGTTGCTGACCTTGCAGGTGAGGTAAAAGTTAAGAATCCAGATTTTAAGGGGTAAAGTAAATAAGAGGCAAGGAAGTGGAGGTAATACTGGTTTTTTCTAGTTCATTAGTGAGATGACAACTGAATCAAATGAAGAACTGTGTCCTGAGCATGTAAGCATCAGTAGACTGAAGATGAAGATGATTAAAGGGCAAGCCCCTGAAAGGGAAGGGATAGAATCTGGGGTAGAGGGGTTGGCCTTGGCAGGACAACTGGAGTGCAGGAGTGTTGAACAGTAGTTTTAATGTATAAAGTTGGGGATTCTCAGGGTGTTCACTTTGATGGCGTGTTTTTTGGGTTGTTTTCTTTTTTTCAGTTAAGAAAACAAGATTCTTGTAAGAGAGTAGGGGAGGGTATCAGTGTAAAGAATTCTTAGGGGGAAGTCACAACTCCAAATGTTTCGTCTATAAAATAGAAGAGTTGGAATGGTTTGTAAACTCAGCACCTAGCTAGGTGATACAGAAGGTATTTAATGTTTACTGACTATTGACAAGCGGCCAGCTCTAAATTCTGTAATTTTAGGATGTGACCTAAGGCACTAATGAAAAATATTGAACACAAAAAGGCCAAAGGCAGATCCATGGAACACTCGTTTACTAAGTTCTAGATAGGTTGACATCTATTGAAGTAACTAACAAAATTTGGATCCATCTCCACCTTGTTCATGAGGATATAACAACTTTGTCAAATGCCTTTTTGTAATCTAGGTGTATACTATAGCCTCCCAAAGGCACAGCAAGCTTGTCAAAAGAAATCAGGCTAGTCGAGCAGCCTAACCAGTTTTTGGTAAATCCATGCTAGCTCCTATTAGTGCTCATCATCAATTCCCTTCCCAAATGCTAACAAAGCCTAAATTGCAAATTCACTCATCTGCAATACTGTGGCACTTGTCCTCCTTTCTATTTTTCAAAGATCTGTGAAAATTCAGCAGCCACATGTGCCAGTTAGAGATTGAATGTCTCCTATTTTTATTTCCCCAGTAGTAAAAGTAGCTAATTTTCCCAAATGAATTTTAAAAACTATCCAGTAGGCCTAACAAGTTATATTTAAAACAAAATTACAAATGTACTGTTATTTGCATGTACGTGTGTGTGTGTGTGTGTGTGTGTATAGGAATGGTTTTCTTATTATATTATTTCATATTATATAAGGGAAACTAATTATATTGAAATAAAGATGTAATTTTACCATGTTTACCAAGTTCATGGACCCCCTGAACATCCAAAGACCCTAGGATACAAGCCTGTACTTTAACTTCATCTGTTAAGAAAAATGTTGTTTCCTTCAACTCTTATAGACAAATGATTTTAACAAATCAGTTGTAGAATACTAAAGAACACTGGGCTCAGAACTGAGACTTAATATTAATGTTAATATATGGCGCCCTCAGATTTACAAAGCACTTTACAAATAACATTGTAGTTTGTGATGACCGTCCAACTCTCCAATGCATGTTTAATTATTGTGATTCTCTGTATAGGTTGGTCCTTTCTCTCCAATCACCAAATTCCATGAGAAAACAGAACCATGTATTTCCACCACCTTCAACCCCAGCTTAATTTAAACACTTACTCTGTACTAACCAAATATTTGCAAACAAATTATGAATAGGTTCAAAGAATGACTATTAAGAACCAAAGTGATTTTTAGTCCATAAATTAACACATTTATTGTTGGACTATGGGCTACAGATATTTGACAAGAAGATTTTACTGGTCTTTCAATTCCTTCAGTCTTCTGATGGCAGATTTGACTGTGACTGCAGAGGTGGTACTGGAAAGGAAAGCAACAAAGTCAGATTTTCCAACATAAACAGCTACCTTAACATAAGAAAGAACATTATGAAATCCCAACTAGAAATCTTGGAAGAAATTCTGGCTTTGCTAGTCTCATCTTAAGTTAAGATTTCTTGTGGGAGATGCAAAATTACACTCAGAAATAATCCGTTCCTGGAGACTACATCTTTAAAAGCACTTTGCAGAAAGGTGAAATCTTGACCATGCAGCATAGGCTACTATTACTTCTGATGGTTTAGATACCAGCAGAAAACAAATCAAGAAACAGGTAAAAGGGAGACATCAATTTTATGAGCTAATGCTGAAAGAGCACTGTGGTAAAAAAGTCTGCCTTTAATATTTTATTGTTAGTTTGACTCTTATAACAGTACCCTATAAAAGCAATTCATTTACATCTTGACCCCTGTTGTAGTGCCCAGGTTATGTCCTGTTGTGTTGAATATACATGAATGCTAAGAGAACTGAAGTGGGACAAGGCCATTCCCAACAGAGCTTAAAAAAATTTCTAGTGTTCAGCAGTCACAAAAAGCTTTCTCATTCACACCTCAATGTTTCCTAATTTCTGAGCAATTTAAACAATCCTGGGCATCTTATTTATCAGACCAGAATAGAGAAGTGGCAAATTGGAATGAAAAGAGCGTAAGAGAGGCAGGTCTGCATACAGAAGAGGAAGAATTGTTAGTGCATGGCATTAGCAATCACTTTTAAATGTTTTGTCTAAAAAAAACCAATTTAAAAAATTCTCAACAGTTTAACTAAGGAAGACTTCATTTTCCATACACTATCAGCCTTACTCTGACAGTTGTCAGCTTAGAAAGCTTCAACACTAAGCTGGCAAAAAAGTGTTGAATGTCTCTGAAAATGTTTTAAAACTGCCCAAATTTACATGTTATTGACACACATTCTTAAGAAAATGGTCATGCTGATCCCTCAGTTACCAAAACTTAAGTTACGTAACTATGTAATAAGTTTGACAGATATTTCCAACAAAAAAATGGTTAGAATTAAGTTTTTCCAGTTTAAAATGGCTTGTCTTACTTATCAAGGACTCCACTCCATATGAATATATAACCTATTTCCACTGATGTGCCAACTGTCTCCAGCGTTCTTTTCCCTGCTATGTAACCAGCAGAGGGGGCACCTTTCTCCTTTCCTTTCCACTTAAATGGAGTCCCCCAAAATTTCTCAGTCATTAAATTGTGATCAACTCTAAATCTTTCACAAGTGTTCTTATTTAAAGATTAACAAAACTGCCAACAACATATATTCTGTATGTCATAAGAATTCTGACTTGCTGGGATTTCAGGATTCAACTGAATCCTATTAAAGTTAGTACTGTCTCAGTCCCCTGACCTCTTGATTTCTTAATATAACTAAAACATGAGAGCTAAAGACCAAGCTTCCTACACCAACGTGCATGGCAATCTATCTGTAATTTAAAGGCTTCAAGGCCTGTCTAGCATAAATTGTCTACTGTCATAATGCTGATATGGATCCTGACAGGCTACTTAAGAGACAATCAACAAGCATGTGTTACTAATGCGTTAATATAGGTGCTAAGGATACAAAAACAAAAGTATCTTTACCCTGAAAAGAACATATGAAATACAATACATACACATTTAAGTAACATACAAAACATTTACCAAGCAAATAAAGGTAATTTCAGGCAGTGAACAGTACAGAAACCAATAAAGGCCTCATGTAACAGGTGAAGACGGGAAGGAAGCGCATTGCAGACACAGACAGCCTATACAAAACAATTTCCAAAGGAGTCTAGGTTCTGACCCATGTAAACTCTCCTACAGCTTCCCATCTACAGCCCTCCACAACAGCCTCCTTACATTCACAATGATGACATCCTTCTTCTCAGGGCCCAAAGCATGTATATGTATGTGAATAAGTGCAATCTCGGAAAAACACCGCCTGACTGCTGGCTGTGTAATCTGTGGCCACTGAACATAGTAGGTACAAATGACTTTTGTGGGTATCAAAACTGGACTAACCTTAGCACTGCCCACTACAGACACACTATACACACACACACACACACACACACACACACACACACACACACACACACACACTCCTCCCCTGGGCAAACTGACTTACTTGTAGGTCCATGCACCACCAGCTACTGTCTTCATACAGGATCCACAATGCCAGATACCCACAGCCCGTCTCTTCATTTTGGTCTACAAAAAAGAAATTTCCCACATGAACTAACCTCTACCCTTAAACAATTAAGACACTGAATTTAACTGTTTCAGACCTCTAAAAGTTGTCAGGTGTAATGCTCAGTTCACGGCAACACTGCATGTCCTTTAGAATGTTTCTTCTTCCCACACCTCCAAATTAAGTATCTTGTTTTTCTAAACTTCTAGTCAACAAATGTTTATTATTATAACTTCTCTGCAAATATTTTTTTTGCTATTTTCCATTTAAGTCTTTAGGCAGGTAGCATCATTATGTCCACTTTACAGAAGAAACTGAAGCTTTACCCAATGACTTTATCCAAGGCCACATATATGGCAAGGACAGAGCTGGAATTTAAGAACAGCAAACTTTCTTATACACTGCCTCACCTTTCACATCTGGCAATTAAAAGACACAGAGAACTAAGAGCAAAAAAGCTCTAACCTAGGCAACCCTGGCCATTTGCTCGTGCCCCTTTATCACGTTCCACCTCCCACTTCCATGCCTTTGCTCAGTGCCCCTGCCCTCGGTGCTCCCTCCTGTTCACCACCCCACTTCCCCCCAAATTCCTAGTCCCTATCAAGGTTCTGTACAAATGTTACCACAGGATCTTTCCTAATTCCCCCAAGTAATTTGTGATCCTTCCCCAAATTCATATTTATTTTTCTCTGCCCTAGAATGTAAGTTCCTTCAGGGCAAGGACTATTTAGGGCAAGAATTTTTCCTTCTATCCCTAGGGCTTAGTACAATGTCAGGCACCAAGAAGGCATTGATAACTTAGTTTTAAGGATTAAAAACAAGGAGGGCAAAACACAGGGCAGGAAAACAATACTTTGGGAAAAGTCCTAAGGACAGTTAAGACAGCTACTCACCTTGCCACAGAAGGAGCAGGTATACTTGGCATGCTGGCTAATTTCAATTTTCTTCACCATTTTTCTGAGGGATGCACCATAACGTGTTCCATATTTACCAACAATTCCGACCTTCTTGGTACGTTTAGCCTGTGATGGTCCAATTTCAATAAAATATTTAAACAGTGAACATACTAACCACTGGGTACAGAAATGAACATTTCTCTCCTCAAGAAATTTATAATTTAATGAGATTAAGACAATTCAACAATCCTGTGTAATCTAGGGCTGAGAACCATGTTCTAGGTGTCACCCTAAGTTAAAAGTGATGCATCTAGAATCAGGAAGATCTGAGGTCAAACACAGCCTCAAGCACTTAAATGGCAGACCCTGGGCGAGTCTCTTAATCTGTTTGCCTCAATCTCCTTAGCAAAATGGGAATAGCACCTACCTCCCAGGTTACCGTAAGGATCAAATAAAGTATTTGTAATAAGCTTTATAAACCTTAAAGCACTGTAAGTGCTGGCTATTATTTCATTTCATTAGCAACCAGAATAAAGCATGACATAGTGGAAAGTAACAATGGAAAGTGGGTCAGTCAGCAGAGACTTCAGTTCAAATTCTGCCTTTGATCCATACTGGGCTATGTGACCCTAGTAGGCTAGTCATTTTGACCTCTCAGTGCCCCCACCTAACTCTACTAGTAACAAAAGTAGAAATCTGAATTGAAGGGAAAGTTCAGGAGCTAATCAATCAATCAATCAACACTTATTAAGCACCAAAGCATCAGGCACTTAACTAAGTGCTATGACGATACAAGCAAAAAAAACCAGTCCCTGCCCTCAAGGAGCTTACATTCACAGCTGAAATCAAAAGCTACTCATGTCACAGGAGTTCTTGGGAGGGTCAAATGAATGTAATATACTTTGTACACCTTAAACTAGCACTAAGTATGAGTATTACCTGATCCTAAAAGGGACCCAGAAAAGACAAGCGTGCCACAACTCTAAGGAATCTAGTGATAGACTTTTTTTTTAAAGAGCTCCAAATGTTAACAACTTTTACATTTCATATAATCATTCTTATATTTACATAAACAATGTATTTATGTAAACTTATAAAAAACAATTTATATAAACAACCCATAACAATTTATATAATCGTTTATGGTTTAGTCAGTCAAGGCCCAAAGCAGTACCTGTCAATTATCTCCAATTCTATGGTGTATGTATGCATATAGTTGGTGGCATAGTCTCCTCTATTAGTCCGTGGGCTCCTTGAGAAGACGGTTTTTCCTAGCCCCGGTGCAGCTCTTTTACAAATATCTCATTTGATCCTAACAACTCTGGGAGGTCAGTGCTATTATCACCCCCATTTCTATTGTTCACCATGTCCCACCCTTCATGAACTCATTTGTGGTTTTCCTGCCGTAGGAAATCGGCTCATTTTAAAGATGAGGAAACTGAGGCAGAATCAAACGACTTCGCCCAGGGTCACACAGATAATAAAAGTGTCTGGGGGCTGATTTAAACTCGGGAAGAGGAGTCTTCCTGACCCCTGGCCCGGCACTTTATCCACTTCACCTATCATTCCCATTTTACAGATGGGTAAACTGAGGCTGACAGGGAAGAGACTCGCCCAGCATCGAAAAACTCAGGTTCTCTCTTTTTCACTCGGGGCCTCTTAACACGGCGCAGCTACAAACGCCTCTAGACCGGCAGACGCTGGCACACGGACCTGCCCACGCAGGGGCCGGGGCCGGGCTCCCTTCCGCTCCCCCACCCGCCCCCGGACGCCGGGGTCCGCTCCCCGCCGCTGCCACTGCCCCCAAAGCCCACCAGGGCCCCGCGCGCTCCGCGGACGCCCCCCTCCCTCCCCTTCTCCTCCCTCCCGGAGGCGCACGCGCAGGCCTCCCTCCTTCCAGGCTGTGCAGGCCGCGCGCGCCTCCCCGAGCCCGGCCCCCGCGCCAGGTCCCGGGGCAAAGGCCACCCCGGCGGCAGAGGGCCCGGTAGGGGAAACGCGAGTGAGGCAGAGGCCAAAGAATTAGGACGGGGGTGTTCTGGGTCAGAAAGGGGCCAGTGATGGGGTAGATGGCGGCGGATGCAGGGAGGCCTAAGGGCAGGAGGGGGCCAGCTTACCATGTTGCCAGTTGCGGGCCCAGAGCTCGGAGAGGAAAGAAGGCAGTGCGCATGCGCGCTTTCAGGGCCTGAGACCGGAAGTGAAAGTCGTGGGGGTGGGGCTAGATAGCAAAAGAACTCTATGGTTGGGAGGTAAAGTCTAAACATGAGTCCTCCAGGATGCTCTTCAGTTCCCTGTGGAGAAGGCTGGGAGTGTTTGGAATACAATCACAGAATGTTATATCTGGAAGAGTTTTCATAGGAATATAGGATTTAAAAGGAGGAGGAGACTATACAGTCACACAATACTAGATCTGGAATAGATTTCATAGGAATATAGGATTTAAAAGTAGGAAGGTACTTTTAAGTCCATCTGTATTTTACAGATCATAGGATCATAGATATAGATCAAGAGTTCTTAACTTTTTTGTGTGTCGTGGGCACCTTTGACGGTCTTGTCGAGGCTATGGACCTCTTTTTAGAATAATATTTTAAAATGCATAAAATAAAATACATAGGATTACAAAACAAATCAATAACATTGAAATACACTTATCAAAATATTAAACAATAATAATAATAGCAGACATTTACATAGCTAAAATGCAGGTCCATTGCTCTGTTCACTGCTTCATCTTGGTGTTAGGGAGTTTTAAACCTACATCAAGTTTAAATTTACCTCATTGAAACTTTTACCATTGTTTTTGGTTCTGTCCTGTGGAGCAAGTAGTAATTCCACTTCTTTGGAGATCCTCAAGCAAATTCTGGATGGATGATCTTTTGTTAGGGGTGTTGCAGAGAGGATTCTTTTTCACAAATAGGCTGAGATCCTTTTCAGCTCTGAACTTCTGTGATTCTTTAATTCTGCTCAGAGGACAGTTTTTTCCCTCTGTGTCGTTTTCATTCACTCTCATGCATTCAATTTACTACCTTTATATGCAGATGATGCCCAAATCCAGCCTTATTTAAATCCAACTCCAGAATTCTAGACCCATATCACCAACTGCCCATTGACTACCTCCATTTGGATATATTGTTGGCATTTAAACTTAGAGTGTCTAAAATGAAAGTGATCAACTTTCTCCCTAAACTTGTCCCTCCTTCAAGCTTATCTTTTCAGCCTGAAACATCAAGATAATTTTGACTCCTCTTACCCCTCCTCTGCCACTTATATCCAAGTCTTAGAGACTCTAGCTCCATAAGAGCTTTGGTATTCATCTTCTTGTCTCTACTCACACTATCACTAACTGCCTTAGTTCAGACTCTTCTAATCTCTCAGTTGGGCTATTGTATTGTAACTAGTATCTCCAACTCTAGTATCTCTCCTCTCTAATCCATCCTTCACACAACTGTCTTTCCAAATAATAATTCCTAGCTTTTGTTATTCACCTGTTTTTCAGTCATGTCCGACTCTTCATGATCCCATTTGGGGTTTTCTTGGCAAAGATACTGGAGTGGTTTGCTATTTCTTTCTCCAGCTCATTTTACAGATGAGGAAACTGAGGCAAACTGGGTGAAGTGACTTTCCCAGGGTCACATAGCTACTAAGTGTCTGAGGCCATATTTGAATTCATGAAAATAAGTCTTCCTGACTCCAGGCCTGGCACTCTATCCACTGTGTTACCTAACAGGTCTTCTTAAACTTTTTCCACTCTTGACCCCTAAGTGCTTCTTAAATTGTGGGTCGAAATCCCATGAAGAGCAATTGATGGGGAGCAACCCTTGTGAAAAATGGGCCTACCTTTCCTGTTACTGACCCACTGCAACCATTGGGCTGATAAGTCCAAGAACCCAGGGAATAGCAGTGTCCCCTAGACCAGTGGCATCAAATTCAAACAGAAACAGGGACCACTAATTCATACATAAGGATCCCTGTGGGCTGCCTACTGAAGCAACTTTAAATGTGGTATTACTTAGGTTTTATTGTATTTTTGTTTGTTTTGTTAAACATTTCCCAATTACATTTTAATCTAGTTTGGTCCAACTTTCCAGCACTGTTGTGAGCTGCATGCAGGCCATTTTGACATTTCTGACTTAGACCGCCAAACTTGCTATCGTATTTTACTTTCCCCCATCTAGAAGAAGAAATATCTTTGGTATTGCACATGGTTCAATAACAGAAAGAGATATGGCTTTATCCACGGAAATTACTTTAAAGATACATTGCCATCTGCTGTATCACTGCACCCTATGGACAACTGGGACTTTCCATCTAACTTGCAGCTGAAACCTCTTCCTAGACACATTGTCTGCCCCTTTTAGAATATGAGTTCCTTGAGAGAAGAGAATGTCTTGTATCCCCACCTGTATCCCCAGAACTTAGCAACAATAATAGCATTTAAATAGTGCTTGCTCCATGCCAGGCACTGTGCTAAGCAATTTACAATTATTATCTCATTTGATTCTCACAACAACAATCCTGGGAAGTAGGTGATATTATTATCTCCCTTTTACAGATGAGGAAACTGAAGCAAAAAGAGGTTAAACAACTTGCTCAAGGTCACACAGGTAGTTAGTGTCTGAGGCTGGATTTGAACCCAAGTCATCCTGACTTTGTACATAGTAAGGGCTTAATAAATGCTTTTTAAATTCATTTCATGCTCTTCTCAAAAACCTTCAGAGTGTCCCAATTACCTCTAGGATAAAATACAATTTTGCATAACATTTAAAGCCCTTTATGATATGGTTCCAATCTTCCTTGACACCCTTATTTCATAGTATTCCTCTTAATGGATTCCTCTTTTCAGTTGATTAGACAATTGGATTTTTTACCAATCTCAACTTGCTACTTCCTACCTTCATGCATTCATGAAGGCTCTTGGCATGCATGAAATGCACTCCTTTTTTTTTTATTAAAGTTTTACTTTGCTCTTTTTTTTTTTTTAATGTTACTGTTATGTCCTACTGACTGCCTCACCCCAGTGGAGCCCTCCCTTATAACAAATAAGTACAAACAGACAAAACAAATCCATTATGTTGGCCACATTTGAAAATGTATGCTTCATTCTGCATCTCTTGTCCACCACCTCTTCCAAGAGCTAGTCTTCTGAAATCATGAGTGGATGCTGCATTCTTGAGAATTCTGATGTCTTTTGATATCATGTAATTCAGGGGTTCTTAACCTGGGGTCTGTGAAGTAGTTTTTAAAAATATATATATTGGGGGACAGCTAGGTGGCGTAGTGGATAGAGCACTGGCCCTGAAGTCAGGAGGACCTGAGTTCAAATCCAGCCTCAGACCAAACACTTAACACTTCCTAGCTGTGTGACCCTGGGCAAGTTACTTAACCCCCAATTTCCTAAAAATAAAATATAGATAGATAGCTAGCTAGCTAGATAGCTGTTTCAGTATAATTGATTTCCCCTATAATTCTATCTGTTTTATTCTATGCACTTAAAAACATGATTCTGAGAAGAGGTCCATCAGGCTTTATCAGGGGTCCAAAGACACAAACAAGGTTAAGAAGCCCTGATACAATCCATTCTTCTGGTTCTGCTAACTTTACCCCACATCAGTTCATCAGTACAAGCCTCCCCAAGTTTCTCCGAGTCTGCCATATTCATTATTTCTTATGGCACAATGACATTCTATTACATTTGCAGACCACAATTCTTTAAGCCATCCTCCAACTGATAGACAACCCCCTTAGTTCCTGGTTCTTTGTTAATGCACTCACTTCCCATCTTAGCCTATTCACATCTCTCTCTTCCTTTCTCCCTACTACAAGAACAATACCAAGTTGACACCTCATCTCTAAAGTCTTCTGAGGGACAGAACAGCTCAAAAATTCCCTCCTTCCTCAACTTTTCCTAAAGAACTTTATGGTACCTCTCCTTTCCCCATTATACCTGACCTTGTATTAGGCTTATCTGTATACATACATACTGTATTCCACCTAGTAGGGTATAAGCTCCTTAGGGACAGAATCTGTTATTTTTTTTTTTAGTTGTATACCTAGCATCTACTACAGTGCTTTGCACATACTAAGTACTTTGTATGTGCTTTGCACACAGTAACCTCTTTCTTTATGCTTCTCTTCTTTTTTTTTTTATTTTTTAGGCAACTGGGGCTAAATGACGTGCCCAGGGTCACAAAGCTAGTAAGTGTCAAGTGGTTGGTCTGAGGCCAAATTTGAACTCAGCTCCTCCTGACTTCAGGGCTGGTATTCTATTCCCTGAGCCACCTACCTTCCCCTGCTTCTCTTCTTTAGGTTAAATTATCCCAGTTCCTTCAAACTGACCAGAAAATCAATCTGTCAATCCACAAACATTTTATTGAGTGCTTACCACGTGCCAGGCACTGTGCTAAATATTGAGGATATAAGAAGAAGCAAGAGTAACCCTTGCCTTCCACAAACTTTTGTTCTAATGGGGGAAAGAACATATCCGTACACTGATACATACAAAGTAACCAGAAGAGATAGAAGGTAGCCTTTGATGATGGGAACAAGAAGCTAAGGGTGGGGGAAAGGGCCTGAGGAAGGCTATTTGTATTTGGTGTTTTGGGTTTTTTTTTACATTTTAATTTATTTTTAATATTCTTTCCTTTTTAAATTTTAAGACTGAAATTCTCTCCCACCCCTTTCTCCACCCACTGAGAAGGCAAGTAATATGATATCAGTTATACATGTGAAATCATGCCGAATATTTACATATTAGCCATATTTTTAAAAGAGCAAGAAAAATAAAGTGAGAAAATTATATTTCAATTTGCACTCAGAATTCATCGGTTCTCTCTCTGGAGGTGGATAGCATTTTTTCATCATATTGTTGTTGTTCAGTCATGTCTGACTCTTCATGACCCTGTGGACCAACATGAACATGGGGTTTTCTTTGGGCAAAGATACTGGGGTGGTTTGCCATTTCCTTCTTCAGTTTTATGTAAGCAGGGGTTAAGTGACTTACCCAGGGTCACACATGTAGTAAATGTCTGAGGTCACATTTGAACTCTGGTCTTTCTGACTTTAGATCCAGTGCTCTTGCCTATTGCACCATCTAGTTTTACCCCTTTTCATCATGAGTCCTTTGGATTGTCTTGGATCAGAGTAGCGAAGTCTTTCACAGTTCATCATTATAGCATTGCTGTTACTCTGCACAATGATCTCCTGGTTCTTCTCACTTGACTTTGCATTAGTTCATATAGGTTTTGCCACTTTTTTTTTCCTGAAACCATAGTCCTCAT